CACACACACACACACACACACACACACACACACACACACACACACACACACACACACACACACACACACACACTCCTGTGTATTAAAGCACAGCTCGTACCCTGAAACCTTCTGATCTGATCTTTTAGCGTACATGAGCTGGAGACCCTGAGCAGGATGTGGCCAAGGCATCAGCTCTAGTGTTTCATGGTTGCTAGGTGTGAAGCAGGAGCTCAGCTAACAGAGCCAGTTCAATTATTAATAGAGAGGTTGAATGACTGGACGCGGCAGCCTCTGGATCTGTGCTCCTGTACGGAGCAACAGGATGTCAGCAGCAGTCGAACTGATCCAGCGAGCGGTGGCGTTAAATGTGCCGCGTGATGCGTTCAGGGGRGTCTGGTGTCACTCGCTTTGCCCGGGCTCAGCTGAGTGTTTTCTGTGTTCATCACAGCATGGAGCAGCAAAAGAAAGATTTACGTTGTTGGTAAATGTTTTGTATCTTAGGCACACAAACATCTGAAAGCACATCATTGTTTTTAGCCTGTTGGTTTTGTGAGAACCACATTGATTCCATCTGAGAGTGATTGTAGAGCCTCTAAGGGTGGATTTATCACCACACTTGGAAATCTGGGTCAGTTTTCTGCTCATTTCAGGTAAGACAAGAGGCGAGCTCCGTAATTTGTCGATGAAAGCATTAGGAGCTTTTATTCTGAAGGTTGACTCGATACGTACTACTAATAGTATAAAAACTGGACTAGTCAGATCCTGCTGACTTTTATAAAGCTCTTCAAAACCAAAACTGAGAGGACTTGAGCCAAGTTTATTTATAAGGGGCAATTCTATCAGGTCACAGACTGAACCAGCTTAAGCTTCTGGTTTGGATCTGCATAAGATAAGTGGAGAAAAAAAATCAGCTGTGAACAGTTTTTATTGGAAAAAAAAATGTTTATAAAGCAAGCCGGCGTGTTTTATATGTGGACATCAAAACACAAAAAACAATGGTTTCATATAGACCAGGGGTGTCCAAAGCTTTTTTAGTGAGGGCCAAATACAGAAAAATAAACAAAGGGCCGGGCKACATATGGCCTTAAAAAAAATCTCGATTTTTTTTCATCCCAAATTCGATTTTCGATTTTAATTGATTTGCATCGTTCCTTTGCTTTCTTAAACACAAATTACAGAAATTTGTTTTAAAAACTCGCTTTTAATAATAAGCTTGTTTGAAAATTATTGTAAACAAAATTAACAGTCCTGTTTAAAACATACATTCAAGCAAAGTCAGTAAGTACATTCTTGATGTCTTTTTTTTTACCCACACATTTTTTGGCAAGGAAGTCTGTCTACTGCATCTTCATGCATGCCCTGTGGCTTAAACAGAAAATACAAATTACAGAAAATAAACTCAAAAACTTTCTCTCTTTAAGAATTTCACAGCATGTAGTCATTTTTATTTAAATAAGGCCAGATTAAGTCGAGAGCTATTTTTTGCGTCCCTCCATATCCACCTCTTGGCAAACTTGGGGAAAAAAGACAGCGCAGAGCGAGGCTGAGCGCTGTGTGTGGTGCTCACAAAGATAGGAAGATGTTTGTGTGATTAGACGCGCAGCTCTGCTTTTAATCACGTAGCACCGATGCGACAGCTTTCCAAGCTACTTATTCTTTCTTTAAAAGAAAATGCGACAGGTGAAGCCACAGCATGCTCACTATCTTATCAATAATTACTGCCTTTTTTTTCTCTGTGGGTGGGGGGGTCAGCTTCACTCAGCTGCAGGTGAACACCTCCTGCGTTTCCTGGACTATTTTCCACCGAGGATTACGTCGTATTTTATATTTATTATATTTCTAAAAGCACTTCGCAGCATTTCCCCTGTGTGTTCACGTCACAAGTGCAGCAAAACCACGACAGATCAGCTGAATGTTTTTAAAGCGAGGGGCAGCGACTTTACAGCAGCTGCACCTGCCCACCTGCAGCTCTGCTCCGACCAGCCCAGACCAGGACTTAAAGTTCATACATGTCAACCCATTCAGACGTTTAACGTGTTATAATGAGCATCAAAAATTTGTAATTTGTGCAAAAATCAGTATTAGTCACTCGGATGGGGTGGAGAGGAGGTGCGCTGACCTCAGCTGCGCAGGGAGGAGGAGGAGGGTCTTTTAAAGACGTGTCTACATTTGACTTTTATTTTTTCTAAAATCACAGAGTTCTCTGAGTCAG